TGTTACTTTTTGGCAGTACACTTTAGTAAGTGAAATGATATTATAAAGAGTCAAATTAACTCTAACTTCTCTGAACAAAATAGTTCATAGGAATATAAAAACCATCTACGACACAATAATTGCCAAAGTTATTGTAATGCAATTCCTTAATGAATCTATACCTGTTTCTAGACCTTTTCCAAATATATACTAAATTAAAAATTTTAATTTTAGATGAATAAACCCTAAAACTAAAGTTACATCTAGATTAGGTCTAAACCTAGCAAATATACAAAACCAATTCTTGAAATAAAAATAATATAATTCATTAAAGAAAACTAAAATAAACAATAACTGGATTTTTACATTAGACTAGTTGATAACATTTGAAATATACTAGTATTTTAAGTATATCAGATAAAGTAAATCATACATTAGGTTTTTAAAGTTGGATATTTTTACTATATAAAAAGTTACAATTTTATCATAGGAGTGAGAAGATAGGTTAGTTTATGAAAATGTGGTGCTTGAATATTTTCAGCACAGCTCCATAAAAAACGTGTCCTGTTCTTGTGAAAGCAGGCATTAACAGCATTGCACATCTAAATTTATCCAGCAGAGGGCACTGTATAAATCTTTTATTTTTATCCTAATTCTGTTTCTCAGCGATTTTTAAAGTTCATTAATTCTATACTTAAATATAGTATTATATGTATACTTTCTAATTCAGTGTGACTTGATGTGATATAATTCTATTTCAGTTACAAGTAGGCAAAGAAATCCTAACATTTACCTTAAATATATTGCATACTGCCATACACATATTCTTTAAAGGAACATAATTACAGATATTATATTATAATATAGCTCATTTAATCTTACTTTTGAAAGATTAATATAGCTCATTTAATAAACTTTTGAAAGTGAGATGGATAAAACATGCAAAATTTGAAGACTCTCAGAAGCTAAGCAGTGAATCAAAATTATTAATGAAAGATGTGTTTGCATTTCTTCCCAATCCTTTGATCCTTTATTAATTATTATGACCTTACAGTAATTGGAAGTATACTTGGACATTTAAACAGAAAACTGTTCAAAATAATTCTTAGGGGTGAAAGGTCTTGAAACACAAATATCTATGAATAAATACAAAGCATTTTAACTGTGGAAATTTTATAGAAAAATAATACATATTTTCTGAAAGAATTTATTGATATCAGAATATTTTGTTAAGTCCAAACAGTTAACTACCAACAATATGACTGCATGTAAATACACATTTTTATAATAGTCTATAAAATTTAGAGGCTTCCCAATTTTGTACTTCGAAATCAATTTCTTTTTATTTTTCTTGCTGCACTAAGGGTTAAACCCAGTGCATATCCTCTCAGCTACTTTTCCATTTATTTTGTTTATTTTTTGAGACACAGTTTCTTTCAGCCTCTAAACTGCCCACACTATGCTGGAACCTGTGACGCTGGTGCCTCAGCTACACCGATTCTGGGAGCACAAGAAGGAGACGCCATATCCACTTACTACACTTTTAAGTCTTCAGAAATATTCAAATGTTCAGAATAGGAGGAACTTCCAAACACTGAGTAATATTCATAAAACTGAACAGGATTCTACACTCAAATAATATCATAATTTTAGTCCAGCTGATTTGGAAACACTTCTAGGACAATGGTGGAAATAATTTCCTGAGTTTGCTCAGCTGGTTCTTTTGCGCTAGACAAGAAAAATTTCCCACAAGATGGGAACACACACACACACACACACACACACACACACACACACACAGAAAAACTCCTACGTTCACATCTTCATAAAAATCCTTGAGGAAATCATCCAAACACTAAGCATTTTATAGTATAATAATACTCAATTCTTACGTTCCTTTGTATTATTTTAAAAAAACCTGTAATTGCTTCATGTTGATTCTATGTATATATGGATTTATGGACACAAGAGCCATGACTCATGACATTGGAGGGATACTTTCTCAAAGGACACAGTCCAAAAATAAAACCAGAACTAAAACTCCCATCCTCTTCTCCCAATCTGTTTGTAGCTATCATTTATTTACTGAAATTCTGTTGAAAACTAGAGTTTACTTATCTGAAGGTTATTCATTTATTACAGGAAGTCAAAAAAGTACTTAGCATATATGTATAATGTAAGAACACAAAGGGGCATTCTGCTGTTACTAAAACTGGTACCTTAGACTATGAAAGATTACATCAAGGGAAATGCAACCTATTGTTACTGTTACACTGAGAATGGGCTTGAGAAAAGTGGATTATTATCAAAAGCTAAATCCTTCAAGCAATAAAAATATAAAGGATCAAATTTGACTGAGACTTTTAGACCTAGAAGAAATTGCCAATATGTATGCAAACATAAATTTCATTCTTTTTTTCTACTACTATTGGTTGCCTTTATTAGAAATTCATTCTTGATGGCAAAAAAGAATTTAATATATACACAAATGTTTGTGTAATCACTGTCTATTAGTAAACAAGTAATTTGAAAGCCAGAATTAGTAGTGCTAGAAAATTTGAGAGGAGCTAATAAGAAACTGGTTGACAGGATAGAAATGGTGGATAAAGCCCTTCCAATATTTGTGAAAGGCTTGGCTGTACACTTGTCACTGTTTCAGTCCAATTAAAGCAGAGAAATTAAAACCACTATATAAACCACATAATTATAATATATATATAGTTATTGTTCTTTATATTAACAGACTTATAAATAAGGAAGTGGAAAATAATTACTTTCAGATTTGACAAGCGCATTAAATTTTCCTGCACTAAGTGTTTCAGAAAAAATGTACAATGACTTTTGAGGTAAGATTAGTGAAGTGTTACACACAGGACATTTGCTTGCTGTCTAGCCAAGTCAAGCAACCCCTAGAACAGAACATGTGAGGGGGCCAGTAGAACATCCAAGTCAGTACCAAGGCCAAGCTCAAGAAAGGTGCATGCACAAGACTTCAGCCATCCCACTGCCAGCAATTCAGACACCCCTTAGCCTTGGTGCCACCGTAGCTGATGCTCTGTGTGAGAGACCAGCCATCCGTGCCACGCCAGCCTCCAGACTCAGGAATGTAAAACACAGTGGCTGGGACTCAGGGAAGCACAAGTTAGGCAACTTTGCTACAAGAGATAACTGGAACCTTGGGTCACTACCTCTAATATTACAAAAGGGACAGCCATTTAGCATCATATAACTAGAATTTATGAACACTAAGTGAGGATCCAGGTCATTGAGTAACAAGTCTATTGTTTTCCCTTTATACCACAATGGATGATATTTAGGAAATTCTTTTCTCTGATCAATATCTCTCAAAAATGTGATTGTCCTGTTAACATAAAACACATTTGTTCATTTTTACTATTACTGAAGTCCAATGATGGTGTAAAATAGATAATATGCTGAAATTTTAACCATACACCTAAGAATTCAAGGGCACTTAATAAGACTCTAGCAGAGATAATGAGAACATGGCTATAATAAAAGTCATTTTTAAAAAGGTGAAAAATTGACAAATTATAAATTGCTTTTCAAAATTCAAAATATGAATATATGTCAAAATCACTTTTAAAACTTCACAACACCATAACTACACATAGGTTAAATACAGTATCAAGTGACAAATTATCAAAATGTTCAACTTTAAAAGATTTGAATCTCAGGCTTGGTTAGAGCCAGTAATTAGCACTTACTCTCTTTCTTTCCACAAGGTTTGCTGGAACTCATTCAAATGGATCTGCAAAGTTGAAATTTTAGTTCCTTTCTCCTTCAAAGGCAGATTTATTGCTTGCAGTCTGAATCCAGAGACCATGTCACAGTTTCCAGGACCAATACCCTTGAATAAATCAGTAAAATCAGAATTGGTCTTCATTTCATTTAATTTGAAAAGCTCAATAAGCACATCTTCCTGGGGAAGGGGTAATTTTAGTCTTGAATACTTAAACTTCCCAGGAGGGAAATCAGAAAAAGTATTGTCCAAAGAAAATAAATATTATTAAATTTGTATTTTTAGTTCATGATCATTTCCTGAGAATGTTACTACATGGCCAATGTTATTACACGTAGTGTTATTACATCTCTTTCCTGTTGAAACTTGACTTTTCTGTGTTCTCTTATTATAATAAAGTAATACCTCAACTGTTCTACATCTTTTTTGTCTTCTTTTTCTAATCACAGCTAAAAATAGTTCTCAACAAACTTGAATAGCTGTAGAAACTTTTTGTACAAGTTTCTATGAATTTTTCTTTAAAGTTACTTTGTCACAAATGTCTTGAATGTTCCAAAACATAGCCAGCTGATTTTCTAAACAATATTTTTTCAGGACAGTATAGAACAAATTTTTAAGCAGGCCTTCAATATTTTAGTAGACTGTTACTTTATTCCAGTTCACTGGCTAATTTCAAATTGTGCTCAATATGTGCCTCTTAATAAAATGGGAATCCATTTAAAAGCATGGACTATTATAAAATACTGCTCCCAGATTCTATACCATATTTTCAAACTTCATTGAATTCATACTATAGATATTTGTCTATAATTTCAAATTTAGCTGGATTACAAGATTTAAAGAAAACCAGACTAAATTCAATAAAAAGCCAATGACATTTTATTTATTTTATTTTATTTTTTTACAGGACCAGGGATTGAACTCAGGCCCTTGCACTTGCCAGGCAAGTGCTTATTCTACTGAGCTATCTCCCCAGCCCCAACACTTTACTTTTTAAAATCTTATTTTAAATACTATGTGAAAGCCAGGTTGTCTAGTATTATTTATATTTCAATTATTTCTATAGTGCTTATGATAATTATATAGTTTTGAGAAACAAAGTAAGTCAGAAATTTTATTTAATACTCTCCTAAAATCTTTACTAATACCCGTTAAATAGTATTTTCACTGAATATACAGAGGTATGTATCATGAAATGAAGTACTAAAAATTGAAGCATACGCACATGTGAAAAATCCTTCACTTTCTCCAATTTAGTTTTCTGACTTTTAATAACACAGAGAGAGTTTGTGGATTCTTGACACACTATGTCATCTATGCTCTGTCATCGCAATAATTGTATTCAAATTTATATATTAATACAAATGAATTTTGAGAATACCATTTCCAATAATGTACATAAAGGTTTTAACAACCTGTACCATCAGATTTTAAAAAATTAGAAGACCAAATAAACAACATTTACATTTTTTTTCATTTACATTGAAACCTAATTTAAGTACAACATAAATTTCAGCCAAGTAGAAAGATCTGAGATTTCAAGCCAAGTTATAAAGCTGCAGGATATTAACCAAGGTTTTGAGAGATGGAAGTATATAGTCAAAG